GGCCGGGCTGGATTCGAACCCGCCACCTTAGGTGTATGTGGCTGGCGCCTTAGCCGCTTGAGCCACAGGTGTCAAGCCCAGTGCCTCAAATTAACTCCTACTAGGTAATCTTGACACCCTTATCCCTGAATGAAGTACCTGGACAGTGAACTCTGCTCTGGTACTGCTCCAAAACCCAGTCTCTCCCTCCTGCCTTCTTCCCTGTTGACCAAGAGGGTGGACAGAACAAACAATAGAGAAGATAAGCTGGCTTTGAGCCTGGGACACTGGCCTCTGCTCTTTTGATCCTGGGGGCCCATTGAGCCCAGCTGAGGTGAAGGTACAGCACCTTCGCCCCTCCCTGCTCTTCTTCCTTTCCTGCCCCAGCCTACCCACCCGCCAGCAAATGCCCTCAGCCCATTTTGCAAATACCCTGTGTCTTAGTGCCATCTATCACATTATAGCTATCTTTTGGAAAAACTTTTATTTATTTATTTATTTTTGCAGTTTTTGGCTGGGGCCAGGTTTGAACCCGCCACCTCTGGTACATGGGGCCGGTGCCCTACTCCTTGAGCCACAGGCACTACCCCCCAATTTTTATTTCTTTACTATCCACTGGGAAAACTTGCTTTTTCAGGGACCAAATGATGATTCATTTCATAAAGTTAAAAATCCTTTGGTAAACTATTAACACTGGTTACTCTGGGGAGAGGGACCACGGGGGGAGGAAGGAGACGTTTACTTTTTATTGCTGTACTTTTCTGTATTGTTTCAATCCTTTGCCATATGGGAATATTGATTTTATTTAAAAAATGTCAACAGGGATTATCTGTGTAGCATTTTAGGCCACTTTTTATCTTATTTTTGGTTGGTATTTAAAAAGCTGAATAAACGTTATTCAAAATGAAATAAAAGGGTATATGGCACACTTTTTTGGGTGCAAGACACAACTACAAGAAGGACTCTAGGCTTGGTGCCTGTAGCACAGTGGTTACCGTGCCAGCCACATACACCGAGGGGTGGCAGGTTTGAACCCGGCTAGCCCAGCTAAATGACAATAACTGCAACAAAAAAATGGCCAGGCACTGTGGTGGGTGCCTATAGTCCCAGCTACTTGGGAGGTGAGGCAAGAGAATAGCTTAAGCCCAGGAGTTTGAGGTCCCTGTGAGCTGTGATCCCAGGGTACTCTACTGAGGGCAACATGGTGAGACTCTGTCTCAAAAAAAAAAAAAAAAAAAAAGGGCAGCGCCTGTGGCTCAAAGGAGTAGGGTGCTGGCCCCACATGCCGGAGGTGGCGGGTTCAAAACCCAGCCCCGGCCAAAAACTGCAAAAAAAAAAAAAGGGACTCTACCTAACAAATTCAGATATTGTGATCTGCTTGTTTGTACCTTCAAGTTACCTGAAATTAAAGAAAACTGCAAAAAAGTAAAATAAAGGCTGTTCTTCTCTGTATGACATAGGAGGACATTAAAAAAAAAAAAAAAAAGAAGGTGGCACTTGCAGCTCCATGAGTAGGGCACCCAGCCCCAAATAGTGAGGGTAGCGAGTTTGAACCCAGCCCTGGCCAAACTGCAACAAAAAAATAGCCGGGAGTCGTGGCGGGCGCCTGTAGTCCCAGCTACTCGGGAGGCTAAGGCAAGAGAATTGCCTAAGCCAGGAGTCAGAGGTTGCTGCTGTGAGCTGTGACACCACCGCACTCTACCGAGGGCAATAAAGTGAGACTCTGTCTCAAAAAAGCTCAAAAAACAAAATGCATTTTTTTGGGGGGGTGTTAAGCAGGCCTAGGCTGGGTTCAAATTCACTGAAATAAAACTTTTTTTTTTTCCTTGAGCCACAGGCACCACCCCCCCTCCTTTTTTTTTTTTTTTTTGAGACAGAGTCTCACTTTTATTGCCTTCTGTAGAGTGCTGTGGTGTCACAGGTCATAGCAACCTCCACTCCTGGGCTTAGGTGATTCTCTTGCCTTAGCCTCCTGAGTAGCTGGGACTATAGGTGCCTGCCACAACGCCCGGCTATTTTTTTGTTGCAGTTTGGCTGGGGCCGGGTTCAAACCTGCCACCCTCAGTATATGGGGCCAGTGCCTTACCTACTGAGCCACAGGCGCTGCCCTGAAATAAAAATTTTTAAAAGCCATTGATAAAAGACACAATTAGCTCTTGGTTTTTATTTTTTTAGGTGTTCCAAAGTTTGAAAGTTTGGATTTTTTGGCCGGGTGCAGTGGCTTATGCCTGTAATCCTAGCACTCTGGGAAGCTGAGGCAGGTGGATTGTTTGAGCTCAGTCAGGAGTTCAAGACTAGCCTGCGCAAAAGGGAGACCCTGTCTCTACAGAAAAATAGATATAACATCCTCTACCAAGGGTGACAAAGTGAGACTCTGTCTTAAGAAAAAGAAGATTGGCTCGATGCCTATGGCTCAAGTGGCTAAGGTGCCAGCCACATACACCTAAGGTGGCAGGTTCGAATGCAGCCCAGGCCCGCCAAACAACAATGATGGCTGCAACCAAAAAAATAGCTGGGCGTTGTGGCGGGTGCCTGTGGTCCCAGCTACTTGGGAGGCTGAGGCAGGAGACTTGTTTGAGCCCAGGAGGTGGAGGTTGCTGTGAGCTGTGATGCCACAGCACTCTACCCAGGGGGACAGCTTGAGGCTCTGTCTCAAAAAAAAAAAAAAAAAAAAGAAAAAGAAAAAGAAGATGGGATTTTTTTCCCCCTTTAAGTAGGGTAGGTGCTAGGAAAGGGGGTGCTGAATGGAATGCGTGAGGAGATGATTGTTTCAGAAAGTCTAGATCTATGACTGTGTGCTTATGATGTGTGTGGTGGGGCTGCCTAGGCAGTGGGGTTGAGTCACTCTCTTGAGTCCCCGTGTGTGTGTGTGTGTGTGTGTGTGTGTGTGTGTAGAGAGAGAGAGAAAGAGAAGAGAGAGAAAGACGGAGAGAGAGTATGCTGGCGCCCAAGGCTCTGATTTGTCTGTGTCTTTGCATGTTTATGCCTGTCAAGGTGTCTACACGGGCGGGCGTCTCCACCTTTCTGTGTCCATTATATGAGTGCCTGTATGTCTGTCGCTCTTTCCGCTGTTTCTTCCCTCCCCCACTGCCTGCGCCCTGTGCCGGTAACTGGACCTGGACACAGCCCCCAGGGCTGGCAGCAGAGTTGGCTGCTGGGTATTTTTAGCCTGTAAACATGTTTGCCATTTCAGAGGATAGGGCCGAGCTGGTCTCAGCCCCAGCCTACTCGTGATCTTGCAGCAAGATGGGTGCTCTTGTCTCCAGTCAGGGTTTCTCAGTTCCCCAGCTGAGGGGTGGTGGTGGTGGTGTTAGTGTCTCCCTTCCTCAGCATTTGGAAAGGAAGGGAAACCGGCTTGGAGTGGGCAGTGGGTTGCCACTTAGGAAAGAGGATAAGAGGACTCAGGGCAGAAGAGAGAAGGGGTGTGTGTAGCCAGAAGGCCCCTGCACCCCATCATTAAGCGTTTAATAAAATCTGCACGTAGTTAAAAGTGACTGTGGGAAATGGCTGTAAATTGGGAAACAGCGTCCTGCAAACGGGGAGGTGGAGAGGGCGTGGAGAGGGGCGCGGGGAAGGAATGGGCAGGCGGAGGAAAAGCTGGAGCTCGGGATTCGGGGGGCGGGATTCTGCAGAGATAAGTGAGCCGCCCGGTCTGCTCCTCTAAGGGCCTGATTTGCGTACTCACAGCACTGCGGCGCTTGGGGCACCGGTGACCCTGACTCCAGGGGGTGGGACGAACATCTCCTAGCCGGTTCTGTGGCGGGAGGGGTTGAGGAGCCCCAGAAGGAGGCTAGGCGAGAAATGGGCGCGGCTACATGAAGCTTGGGGACGAAATGAGGAGACTGGGGCCTAGGATTTGAAGTGTAGTTGCCTCTGTGGACCGAAATTCAAGGTCTGCGTCGGGCTGGAGGTCTCGGCCGAATCATTTAAGCCTCAAGCCACTTTCTGGCACCTTGGCACTTCCTGCAAGTTCCTGCTGTGAGCCTGAGCCCCAGGGAGCTTCCAGAGTTTCTTGCCAGAGGAAGCCACACGCTGCACCTATGGTGGGGGGTAGATGCACGCTCGGGATAGAACAGGGGGGCAACAGTGGGGAGGAAGAAAAGAGACGTCCCGTCGTCCCTGCCCCTCCCTCACAGCAGCCCACTCCCGGGTCCCTCCTTAGTCAGACCAGCTCACTAGTCCCAGCCCCTACCCGGCCCCGCCCGGCCCCGCCCTCTCCCCACCGCTTCTGGCAGACCCGCCCGCCAGAGCCGGAGTTACAAGAGCCACCTCTGAGCGCGGGGGCCCGGCCACTCGGAGCAGCTCTGCCGCGGGGACTGCACCGCCCGCCCTGCCGGACCCGCCCCGATTGGGGCTCGCCTCCGCCAGCAGCCGCAGCACCACAGCCTTGGGCCCCGCGCCGGCTATGGCTGTGCCCTAGGGCTGAGCGCGCAGGTAAGGGCGCCCGGCGCACCGTGGAGCAGTCGGGAGCTGGGGCATGGAGAACGTGTGTGGGGGGGACGTGGGTTGCGGGGCTCGGGCGAGTCTCGTTGTTGGGGGGAGGGTGTCACTACGAAGATTCAAATAGTTGGGAGCAAACTGGGTTACCCATGGCCTCCTGGGGAGGCGACGCTACGCGCCCTGGGAGTGGAGCGCTGCCTCTAGAGTTGGGGCGCAAGTTCGGCAAAGTTAGAAAATCGCTCCAAAGTGTTCTTTACTCCGTTGGGCTTTCTTTCGAAGGCGGATTGTTGGCTCTGTTGCACGGCAGGGCTCCCTATCCTGGTCTGGCAGCTCCTGTCCCACCTCCTCTCTTTCTTCATGGGGCCGTGGCTCAGGGGCTTCTGCGTTTGTATTCCTTGTTCACTGGGGGAGAAGTTTCCGAGAGCGCCGCCGCGACACCCCCTGCCCCTCCTGGCACGCCTGCGCCTCCGCACCACCGCGCCGAACTCCCCCGCCGCTGTCCTTCTCTGCTCCCGGCACCTCCGCCCAGAGCTTCGGGTACTGTGTCCTCCCGGCCCCACCCTGTTCTGTACCACCAGCCTCTCCCTTTCTTTCTCCCTGCGGTCCCCTCAGCCCCCCTTCAGCGGCCCCGCCCTAGTCTTGCCCCTCAGTTTTCCCGGCTCTAGAAAACTCTCTTCTTCCTCCTGGGCGGCGGAGCCCGAAGTTTGCTGCTCGCCTCCCAGCGGGATGGGTGTGCGAAGAGGGGGACATAATTAGGGAGATTCCTTCGCCAGGGTGGGTGGGTAGGGGCAATATGCTGCGGCACAGCCCTCGGGACCGCCCCTTCCCCTCCAGAGGCGGCCCTTCTCCCCCCTCCCCGAACCCCCGCCCCACTCCCTAACCCGTTCGGGCGGGATGTCCCCCGCCCCAGCGCCTGGCTTGGCGCCAGCTGCCTAAGGAATGTGGTGGTTAGAGCTGGTGACTAATTCAAACCAGAACTCGGGGAGGAGTGGTGAGGGGTAAAGGGGAGGAGGAAGGGGCTGTGTGTGGGAGGTGGGGGCGGGAGCGGGGCTTGGCATGGGAGGAGGGCTTAGCTGCGCTGGCTGGAACCGTCTCCAGCCGTGCGCGCCAGGAGAGGGGCCTGGGGCCGAGGTCCCGCCGTCGGGTTGGAAAGGCAGCGTGCTTAGGGTGTGTGCAGAAAACTCTGTTATGTAAGGCTTTCCCATGCAGGGAAGGGCGGTGCAGCGTGCCTGGCTCGCCCCTGGCAGGTCTGTGCGCCCCCTGCAGTGCCAAGGCCGGAGTGTGGGGGCGCTGACCATGAGGAACTCATGGGCCCAAGCAGGCCTGGTTATACCCTTTGCTTGGGAGGGGAGCAGAGGGGTCAAATGGGTGATCTTACAGCTCTAACTGAGCCGCGATAACCAGGTTGGGGACAACTAGGTGGGGGTGGCTCTGGCACCTCTGCACAGTGAGACCACAGAGGATTCTGTGTATTGTGTGTGCTTGGGCTTCACAGGGTGTGGCCCTGACTGTGGTGAGGGTAACAGCGAGTAGTCTCAGGGAGCTGCAGTTACTGCGGAGCACCCTTCTCTGTGGTGCAAGTTTGTGGAAAGGCAGCTTGTAGCCCTGCATGGACATGAGGGGGTTAGAGAATGACCCTGAGTTTACAGAGGAAAAGAGACCAAGATATCCACCTTTGTGTCTCCAAACACAGCTCTGAACACGTAATAATTGGTTTCAAAATTGTCTTCCCCATCAAACTCTGATTGCAGGGACCATGTTCACCACATGTTCTTCTTAGGACAGCTTAGCACGTGGTAGGTGATGAGTTGATTTTGTGAGATAGTTATGCAGTGGGGGGCTGTGGTGATGGGACAGGAGAGATTACACCTGCCTTGGAAAGCATGTAAGGGTCTCTGCATCTATACTGAGTGTCATTTAGGGGAGTAGAACTCACTTTCATCCCTCCTATGTGGGAAATCCCAGGGACTGGGTGTGGCACTCACTTCCTTTCAGAAGCTGAATGGTGAAGCTTCCTTCTCCTCCTGCCCATAGGGACAATGGGCCTGCACTTGGTAGGTAGAGTGGGGAGTACATGGCAGCCCCAGGGTTAGGGGCATCTCCTTGCTCTGAGCTGTGAACTGTGGGGTAAGGGAGGGTGAGAGAAGCTGCAACATGAGAGCTAAACAAGGAGAGAATGCAGGGTCTGAGGGCAGGTAGGAGATATGGGTTGGAGAGTCTTTGAGCCCCTCTCTAAAGCCTTTATCCCTAAGAAAGTGAGCACAGGGACATTGGTCAGAAAACAAGGACATGAAGGAGCCACAGAAGTCGCACAGGTTTAGTGCTGCTGATATGAAGGCCTGTAACGGTGATTCAGGAGTCTTAGTTTGGGTACTTCCTTAAGGAGTTCACCCCAGAGTTGAGGACTCATGCCAGCCAGCCATTGTTCAGGGGATGAGGCTCCAGGTCCAGGGCACAGGGTGGGACACGAGAGAGTGAACCATGGGAGTGAATTAAAGGCAGGGAAGGGGTTGAGGATCTCTGGGAAGCCTCTGGATAGAGGTGCCTGGGCACCACCAGGCTGGATTCTTTTGCTCAACTTGGAGTTTGCTGGCAAGCCCTGGCAGAGCACATCACCCTGAGCCTGAGGAGCTGGTTTGAGGGGTTGGGGCAAAGCCATGGGGGTGGAGGGGTGTGTGGGGTTCTGGGGTGTGGTCACCACCTTCTTCAGAACTTGGGAACCGCCTGGGGACAGACAGAGAGAGACCGGGAGAGCTAGTCTGACTCCTGATGAGAGCATTACTGGCTTTCTCCCACCCGGATGCCCCTGAGTTTCTCTCCCCGGAGATGGGCTGAGCACGTGCTTTGCACACTTAGATTTGAGGAAGGGAGGTGGCCACTGAAAAGAGTTAGAATCTTCCATTTCACTTGGGCAGCAGCTGTGGAGGATGTCTAAACCTTCCTTGCCCTTTTCAGCCCCCTTGTGCTTCATCTGGGCTCCCAGGGAGCTGGCATCCACTTGGCTGGACTCTTGAGCATGAACAGTTTCTTTTCTTTTCTCTTTCTTTCTTTACTTGGCTGGACTCTTGAGCATGAGCTGTTTCTTTTCTTTCTTTCTTTCTTCTTTTTTGTAGAGACAGTCTCACTTTATTGCCCTTGGTAGAGTACGTGGCGTCATAGCTCACAGCAACCTCCAACTCCTGGGCTTAGGTGATTCTCTTGCCTTAGCCTCCCAAGTAGCTGGGACTACAGGCTCCCGCCACAACGCCCGATTATTTTTTGGTTGCACTTTGGCTGGGGCTGGGTTTGAACCCACCACCCTTGGTATATGGGGCCAGTGCCCTACCCACTGAGCCACAGGTGCTGCCTTTTTTTTTTTTTTTTGAGACAGAGTCTCACTATGCCATTCTTGGTAGAGCACTGTGGTGTCATAGCTCACAGCAACTTCAAACTCTTGGGCTCAAAAGTGATCCTCTTGCCTCAGCCTCTCAAGGAGCTGGGACTACAGGCGGCCACCAAAATGCCCTGCTATTTTTCGAGACCGGGTGTTACTCTTGCTCAGGCTGGTCTTGAACTTCTGAGCTCAGGTGATCCACCTGCCTCAGCCTTGCAAAGTGTTAGGATTACAGGCTTGAGTCACAGTGCCAGCCCAATGAGCAGTTTCCTCCAAGCCTGGGTGTGCCTGAGGGAGTGTGGGGGCATGTGGATGGGTTACAGGAGGGCTCTGCAGGAGTGTATGTGCACAAGTTTTGATGAAGCCCCTCTTCCTCCCTGCTGGCCTCAGTTCCTAGTGGGGCTATGTCTGGTCTGAAGCTGGCAGGCTTGGGTCCCTGTAACTGCCTGTGTCACAGCCTCTGTGTCTCTGAGTGAGGTGTGTGTCATTGCCGGTGAGAAAGATATTCCTGCTTGTTGTGCATGGAGGTCCTCCCATCGTGGTAGGCCTGGGTGTGTCACCTCTGCCTGTCGCATTGTGGAGCTTGGAGGGCAGAGGAAGGGAATGACATTTCACTCTGGTGGTGGAGGTTTTGCCCTGGCATGCAGGGGTTGTAGGTAAGGAGTGAAGTAAGTTCCTCTGTCCTAGACAGGTCTGGGCCCTGGAGTTTGTGCCCAAAGTCATTTGAGAGGTAGAGGACAGCCCTTGGGGTGCAGGCTGAATTAGAAGCTGCACACAGCCTGTCAGGGAGGGGCATCCTGCCAGGTCCCCGGGGGCCGGAGCGGAGGTTCTGGGGGAAGGGGAAGTGCCTGGAGCTGATCCCAGTCACGGCTACGCGTCCTGGCTAGGCTGGGGGGCGGCTCTTTGGCGGCAGAGCCCCAGGGGCCTGGGCCCGCGCCCCTGCATTAGCTCAGCCTGACCGCTGGGGGGAGAGCGAGCAGCGCCCTCCAGGCTGTGGGTGGGGCGGTGGGCAGCTCCCAAAAGGTAATCTACCCCTCAAGTCATGGCAGGGCGTTCTTCACCCCTCCCTCCCCCACCATAAAAAAAAAAAAAAAGATCGCTACCCTTAGAGTTGGTGTCTTAATCCTGAGGGTCTGGGTAAAGGCCCACTCTTCCTTGCCTATGTGTCTACGTGTGGGGACCTCTTGCTGGAGAAGGTAATTGCTGTTCTCTAGTCCCTGGTTGCAAGGAGTGGGTAGGAGCCCTTTTAGCGAAGGGAAGGAAGAGGGAATCTTCCTCTCTATGGGAAGTGAGAATTTGGAGCTTGCTGAGAGCCTTGGGAGTACCGTAGGAGAATGTTCGTCCCAAGGTGGAGAGAGGTGGAGAAAGCAGCTAGCTGGCTGGGGTCAGGGTGTGTGGGGTTGCTCTGTAGGTAAACTTGCAAGAAATCCCAGCATGATGATGAAGGGTGGGGAAGGGGTAGATCGGGAAGGAAGGACTGGAGTAACAAAGCTGGAAAAACTTCCTCCTGGTGGGAGTAGGGGATTGGGCCAGCACCTCCTTTCCAGAAGGGCAGATACAGGAAGCAAGACTGGCAGGTGCACACACAAAGAGGGAGGTGCACGCTTGGGACACCGACACC